ATGATTTTCAACATAATTTCCTATCTTCCAAAGGTTATCTCTAACTTTTTTTCCTCGAAGAAACCACAGGCAACCCAATAAACCATAAAACTTACATATCACAACCCATAGACTTTTGGTAGATGTTACCACTCCTTTTTTTTGTGCAAACTCCAAATTATTACAACTCCTTTCAACTTTTCTTTACTACTTAAAAACATACCTTTTTTCAAATCTTTTTTTGCTTCCTCAGACCAAATCGAACAATATTCTATGTCATATTCACATGTAGATATGAAAATTTTTTCCTCATCTCTAATGTTTTGAAATAGGGTATGTCATAAGACACACCTCAATCATGATTATTGAAGACTTATAACATTTTGAGAAAAATTTCTAATCATCGATATCTTCATCAAGTTCACTTTCATTACCATCTTTTGGAGGTTCATCTCCCTCCGAACTTTCATCACTAATTTCATCATTTACATCATTATATAGATCAACGTTTATATCATTATTGTCATGCCCCAACCCTACACCCTAAACGTGACCGGCACTTACAGATCATTGCTGGCCCCAAGAGAACCCTTGACCTGACTTACTTAATCAGCGACAGACTTAAAGAATTAATACAAGGATTAAGATGATAACTAACTCAACTTTATGGAACTAAAATCAATTTTTTAAAAAAATAAACATTTACCTTAGCCAAAATGGCAACTCAAATCTGGAAATAAGTTAATAACAAAATTATGACGAAATAACTAACATCTGCTGACTATCTATGAAGCCTCTAATAACTGAGATGGAAGTTGGGATAGACCCCACAACATCCTAAAGAACTAAAGTAGAAAGCAGTGAAAATGGATATACGAAAAGCAAGGAGGCTCATCAACTGACTTTGAACTGCTCACTGGATCAACAGTGCACTAGAATGTCGATCCTAGTTATCTTCATTTGCCTCATAACACGATGCAGGCCAACTGGAATAATTACATTGAATGTACGGGTATGCGAGTTGGAGTGGCTAAACAACATAGGCTTGAAGGAGATTCTGAAAGAAACACTAACCTTGACTCTTGTTTGCTCATGAATACTTAACTAAATTTATTTCAATATTAAGAAATCTAAAAACAAATGCATAATAAAGAAATGCTTGTTAAATCCATGTTGTAATTTTTGTGTGTATGCAACGATACAAAATAACTTTGACATGTATGTAAAAATACAAAATAACCTGATGTCAGTTCATCATCATAATAAAAGACATATCATACTTCCTCTCAAAGTCTACTTGTGCAATGCATGAATGAATTCTCATAACCCCATTCATACTAACCAGAACCTCTTGAGGAACCATGCAACTACTGTTGTGGGAGTTTCTCTAACTGACAACCATCACTTAAAAGCTACAGTGATGATACAACACTTTACCTCGTGAGGCCAATGATTATCATATACCTTGTCGGAGATATAGAAAGCTTAAATGACTAAGTGGATCTACTAGATTAACTTAAGTGATCATCTAAAAAGTATGATCCTTTGATACCCATGACAACTACATGGTTTATGGAGACTTGAGTTAATATGATCTCGCATCCCCATATCGGTTTTCAATATTACTCTAAAAAATATACCTAGTTCATATGTTTTAAATAAATATTCTTGTGTGATTTGAGATTAGTGCTCAAAACCATAGCTTAAATGCTCTCTTGGAATAAATGTTCCATTTTCTTGCTTAAATTTGAAACATTTGTAAACTCTTAGGGAATGCTTAGTCCCCTTATAACTTTTGAGAAATGAACTCAACTCTTTACTTTTAGCTTAACTTGAAACTTAAGCCATAAAAACGAAGTTAAAACGTTTGTTAAATACTTATGAAACTTGAAATGAACTTTTTGTATCTTTTCTCTTTATCAACTTTATCCTTAAGTCTTGAAACAAAGTTAAAAGCATTTGTAAAAGGCTTTTTGAAAGAACTCTAAGAACATTCTATGACTTGGCTCTAAACTTTCCTTGAATTTGAAGTTATGGATTCAAGGTTGTAATTTATGTTTCTGGATGATCATTTAGAGTAATTAGAATCAATAGGAAGTATTAAAACACTTTAGAGAAGCTTAAACTGACATAATAATAATAACTGGGTGAAAAACAACGTTTTGGGAGCGTCTAAGGCGCACCGCGCTAGCCTGACTTGACTGAGGCACCATTTTGGCGCACTAGTGGCGCTCTGCCTCAGCCCTCCTGGCGCTATGAGGGTGCGTCACGCCAACCTGTTCTTTAGGCAAATATCTGCCAAATTTTTTCTCTCATTTTTTGACCTTAAATCGTTTTAATTCGATTCTTTTTCTCAAATTCACTTAATTCATGTACCTACCCTTATAATATATTCAAGGATCTAACCCAATAAATTCAAGAATAAAATCTAGATCACAAAGAACTCCTAAATCTAACTCATGTTCAAGAACAAAAGCAATTCAAGAACAACATTCAAGAACATCCAAAAATCAAATCTTTTAAGGATGAATCACGTTGAATCAAACATGCTTGGCACGTGGGTGAATGAACCCAACGTTATGGAAGACTTACATACCTTTTTAGGGATCACCATTGACAAAATCCACAAGTTATTCTTGACGAATTCGACGATCTTGACTCCTTTTTTCCTTTCGTCTTTTGTGCGTTCTTTCTCCAAAACCCTAACCTTTCTCTAAAAGTATAAAACTGACCAAGTTCAGTTTAGGCCCTTAATAATATTACCAAAAGCGAATTTAATTAATTGGGTAAGAAAAAGACCAAATTATCCTTTTCATTTTCGGATTGAACATTTCCTTAATCCAACAATCCAATTTTCAAAGGGAATAATTCACTAATTCGAACTCGAAATTTCATAAACTTGGTGGGGGTTGGAAAGGTTGTTCCAAGGGATTTCCAAATATATCTAGAACTACAGCTAACTCATCATGAGCTAATAGTTATGGCTGTTTGAGAATGACCAAAAACTCACTTTTTCCTATCTTAATTAATTCTTTCCAAAACTTACTATTTTAACTTCTATGTTTCTTCCTAGCTATTTCGATTGAGATGTTACAATTCACTGTAAAAAAATATTAGTCAAATTCTAGCAAAATTATAAATATAGAAGCTTATTTTAAAAGTGATAATTTATACTCTAAAATGTTATTTCTTCTATTAATAAGAGATAATTTGTGTATACTGACAATAAAAATTATCTTATTAACTTGTTATACTAAAATTCAGTAAAATATAGATTTGTTGTTTACCTTACCTCATATTCCCTGTGACTATTATCAATATGCATTTGACTACTTGAGCCTTCACCAAATGATCGATGACCATGCATCAATAATTGTTGGAAATGGTGGTTGAACAATTGGTTCTACAAAATGAGGTTGATTGATCGTGGTAAAACCATAATTTGGAGCCAATAAATTCATGTGATAACATGATGACCACTAACTTGAAATACAACATTTTGATTTATTGATTCAATTTTAACATACATCTCCAAAAATATTTATATCAATCTTATCCGCAAATTTTTGAGGTATGAAAAGAAATTATAACAAAGACTTGTCATTCTCAATTTTAACTCAATGAACCTTGTATTGTTACCTTGAATTGAACATAGATATTTTTCAGAAATATCCATTTGGATACTTTCACTATTTGTTCTCATTTTCTCATGCAACAATTCAACCAATTCAACATAGTTAGTTGAGGTAGGCATGCTAATAATTGTTCTAACACATTTAGTATACCTAAATCCGTTCATATTCGTAATTAGTAATTATTTCTCCACCCCAATACAAAAAACCATCACATTATGTTCAAAGTTCGTCATCTTTATCCGACACATAAATCTAAGATACTTTAAATAATATCAATAAATTAGAAAAATAATTTTAAAGCTATAATAAGAACTTAACAGAATATGATAAACCTAACTTATTTAGTTCATATTTGATTAAGTTTTGTGAATATTATTTTAACAATGGGCCACACAAGTAAAAGTTTTACTGAATTATGCTGGAACAAGCAAAATATTACATCATTTATTTATAGTCACTCTGATCAGTTTGAAAAATGGAGGATTATGACTTTAATGGAGTGTTGTAACTGATAGTCATGTTTTTAAGATAAAATGTTATATAGGAATCGATTCTAAATTTGCAGGAGTCGGAGGCCCGTGATTGGATTCTTAAGAAAATGGACTCAAAGTAACATTGTAGCGTTTTACAGTTGCATAATTTGATTCCACATTTGCAGGATTGGAGTCAGTGGCTCGTGATTAGATTCTCCAAAAACGTACTCTTGAGTAACGTTTTAGGTGAACGTTACTCAGTGTTACATTTATGCATTTAACGTCGTCAGCCCGTCAATTTTTTGTCCATTGAATTTTTAAAATAAAATCACCATGAAACGTTACTCAGAAGTACATTTATACAAAAAATTTTAAAAAATAAAAAATCAATATTTTGGTGAATTAGTTTAAATAATCAGTTAGTTTTAATTTTGGGCTGGGAGGGGTTATTATGCCCAAAAATAAAGAATGAAATAGGATTCCAACCCAAAATTGAAAAGGAGAGATGTAGTTACATTAGCGTAGCAGTGGCCAGTGAAGGAAGTGGAGAGACTAGCAGAGAAAGAGAAAGAAATGGGAGGAGGATGAACAGAAATTGAAGAGCAGCGGCGTATGACGTCTTCATAGACATACATAGCACAAGTTCTACTTGTCAGGTTTCCCTCCTTTTTCTAATTTTGCTGTTCAATTGATAATTTGTTTGTGAGTTTTGGGATTGGATCGAATTTGATGATTCATTGATGCCGGCTTCCTATTCTGCAAATAGTTATGAATGAAACTGGTCCAGAAGATGTGCTAGATTGTTTAGAAAGTATAATTGAGCATCACAGAAGATCTACCAAAGCAATTACCAACAAATTAGAGACATAAGTTAGAGATATCGAATTCAAATAATGCAACTTACTTATACTTACAGCAAAGGCAAACCAACACATGGATAGGGAGGCATTCTACATTATATACAAACCCTAATATAGGAAACCAATCTTTATTGTCCATGGACTCTGTTTGATGTCAATTGAAGAAACGTGTGAAAAGATAAAACAAATGAATAAGCTTCCACAAATGTACACCCCTTCAATAAGTGCCAAGGACTTCCCTAATCCCTGTACAAAATAAGATACATACTTGTATTAGACATCCGAAAACTACCAAATTATGATTTATACAAAATTTTATGGCTGGAAGATAAGTGTAACTAAAGGCATAATGAAGCTAAGCATATTATGCCTTGTTTAATTTTGACATTTTCATTTCCTTGTTTCTGTAAACAGTAAATAAATGCCAACAGCTAAACATTTTAAATGGATTGAGAGATGATTTTGGGGAAATTACTGAAAAAGTTGATGCGTTTACAGGATAAGAAATATACAAGTAAAACTGACTAGAATGGAAGTTATTGTCATTTGATCAAAGGTTGCAATTATGTTAATGGGTTGAAGCGTAAGCTGTTAAAAAGAACCTATTTTTGTTTTCTTAATTATATCTTCAACGACGTGAAAATATGAAAGAAAGATGCTTGTTTGTCTTCTTGCGTTACAGACAGTTCAATACATTCGTGTGAATATGATGTAAGATTTTTGTATGTGCACGAGTTGTGTGTACCTGTACCAACTAGCGATTGGTGATTCATCACACCTTTCTACTGAAAACTTCTCGTGCCATTGTGCCAAAGAATGATTGCTCCTCAATCTGTGCTTTAAGAAGATTTGATGCGCTACCCAGTCCACGTTTAACAGTGTCAGCCATTTTAGGACACTCCAGAAGAACAAATTCTTCTAACGATGGTAGATCCATACAGAAAGCCTCTGTACAAAGCCGTTCCATGTTTCCAGAATTTGTAATTCTCAGGACTTTCAACTCTGGCAGCACGATTATTTTATCGTTTTCCTCTCTCCTTTCACTTTCTTCATTGCTTATGAGTTCTACCAGATTTGGCATGTCATTTACCTTTAACTCTTCTAATTTGCCAAGACTTCGAGCGGTCGTAACCGAAAATAGATTTCTCAGGTTTCTGCAGCTTCCTATGTGAACAGCTCTGAGGTTGGCAAATAAAACATGTCCATTTTGAACATTTGCTGGCATACCTTCTGGTGCTTCTCCTGTGATTCTTGTCAATCTGTGACACCCCACAATTTGGAGATTATCCAGTTGACAAAGATTTTGAGCAGCTACAAATGGGAATACATATTTCAAGCTATCACAATACTTAATCGCCACATCAGTTAGGTTATTGAAGCATTGTTTATTTTGAAGGGTTGCATTCAGGAGTAACTGCTTAGGTACTCCCCAGATTTCGAAAAGCATAGGCAATCTATCTAACCCGATCATTTTGAGCGTTGAGAGGAGTTTCTGTTCTTCATCAAAAGCTGCCCCGTTAAGTTGAAATAGTTTGAATAACTTGTTACATGAATACACATGAACTTCTTCAATACTTGATAGCCTCTGGAGCAAGGAAGGTTGAAGTAGAAAAAATAAATCATGACAAAATTCAACCTTTAGAATCCGCAAATTCTGGAAGGAACCCGGTTTAATTGAGTGGACAGAAAGTGAATATAGCTTCTTGAACGTCCGAAGATGTAATTTCTCCAAAGATCCTAAAACTAAAGGTGCATCGCTATGAAGAACCTCATCAATGAAATAGGTAATGTCATCATTGGCAGTTATTTCAAGAGTTTTCAAGTGATTTAAGCCCCCTTCGACATCAAAGATACTTTTCAGTATTACCTTGGATGCACAGAACATTGTCAATTCATTTGAGAATTGAAGCATATGATTCATCCCATTTGGTATACCAGTCTTTAATTCTCTAAGATAGAACCTCCTAGAGTTTGGATAACATATAGCTGAGTGGTAACCTACTGTTATCTCAAACTTGTGTAAGCTAGGAAGATCAAAGTTCTCAGGGAAAGCTAGAAGGGTGGAGACTTCCACACACAAAATGTTTAATTGGGGCAGTGACATTAGCTCAGACAAGCTTACTTGGCCACTCCCTTCAGCGGATCCATCAGCTAGCTGCCACAATCGAAAACTCCAACCCATATAAAGTTCTTCTAATCGAACAAGACGTGATATCAAGTTCTCCGGGATTTTCTGAAGGTACCCACAGAATGACAAATCTAATAACCTCAAATTAACCAAGTCCCCAAATTCATTTGGAAGTTGTGTGATAGAGGACCCGTATAAACTTAAAATTTCCAGGCCCTTTAATTTTCCAAGAATAGATACATCAGCTAACCTGCAGTGGTCTAAACGTAAAGTTCTCAGGTTTGTGAGAACTTCAACAGATGATGGAAAACTGAGGGGAAATGTATTTTTTTTTGTGGCATTCGGGACCAACTGATAGTGAGGATTTAGTGAATGGACACCAACCCTTTCACTTAAATCCAAAACCTGGAGTGTTTTCATATGCATGAAAAAGTCGACTGGTATCTGTTCAAGACCTTCATTTTCTCCAAGATGTAAAATTTGAAGATTGGGGCAATGTACATCAGTTGGAAGCACATGGATATTGTTGTGCATGAAGGAAATAGCTGTTTTTTGGCTGAATGACTCCCTTTGTGGCCACTTATTCAGATTGTGACCAGCTCTTACCATGAACCCATGCTTCTCCTCAGATGCTTTATATATAGCAAAGTCACGAATAACATCATGCATTTTAACGAAACCCTCCTTCCCAATATCAAGCAACAGGCAAGAGGATTTAAGTTGGCCAACTCTTAAGAACACTCTGGCTCTAGCTTCTTCAATAGTGTCCACATTTGAGAACAACCCTTTTCCTGTCCAGTTTCTAGTCAAGTCTTCAATACTTATTTCATGATCTTCTGGGTAAAAACAACACATCAGAAAGCACAACCTGATTTCCTCACTTTCCAAAAAATTGTAGCTCAACTCCAGGCAGGAGAAAATGGTCTTGCTTGCATAAGTGGGGGTAAAGGGTTGGGACTTCTTAAGGAGCTGTAGCGCTGCTTCCCACTCCACTTGTTCTTTTCCTCGTAATGCACTTCCAACAGTCACAAGTGCCAATGGAAGGCCTTGACATTCTTCAACAAACTTTATGACCATGCTATCCAACTCCGGACAAAGGTCTGAAGTGCTCGTGCAAGCATATTTCCTCAGTAAATGTGACGATTCTTCTTTTGATAAAAGTCTCAATGGTACTCCTTTGGTCCCCATAGCTGTGCATAGATCTTTTTGTCGCGTGGTAAGCATAATCCTACAGGCCTTGTGCTCATCACCATGAGGGATCCCTATCTCTGCTAAGTCAATGTATGACCAAACATCGTCCAGTATGAGAAGTACGCTCTCCATGGACAGTTGCATATAAAGTCTACCTGCTCTTCCTAATGTGCTTTCCTCCTCAAATCTGTAACATAACATATCCGCAATTAGACCCTGGATCTTTCTTATATTTGGTGTTTGGGAAACACCCACCATTATAACTCTCTTAACAATTCCACAGTCTCTAGCCAATTTCCCTACTTCTACGGCAAGAGTGGTCTTACCAATGCCCCCCATGCCATAGATTCCTATCACCTTATAGTGGTCATCCTGTAGTTCCTCAATGATCTGATCTACTGCTTCTCTTTGCTGGTAAATAATGTTTGCCACATTTTTTCTTAGCTGATAACCAATAATTGAATCCATGGTTAGTCTTTGCTCAATAGAAACATCATCTTTACTTTGCAAAGCACCATTTGTTATACTGACGTTTTGACTAACAATGGATGAACTACTTGCCACCATCTCAGTAACTTGGTCCTTTTCGGGTTTTTCTTGGTCAGAAATGAATGGTATATTCAAAGGAGGGCCCTGCGGTATGGATACATCTTCCGTGAGAGTTCTACCAAGAAGTTCTTGGATGGTCATGATTTTTTTAGTTGCCATCTTGCTCTGCTTATACCGTGAGACCAGATGACGGAGGCACATTTTGCTCAAGTTTTGAGTTTTATCATCCCATGATTTGATCTCAGCAGTGATTTCATCTACCTCTTCTAACCAATTTTTAACTGTGCTTTTAATTTCTCTGTCATTTCTTTTGGCGTAGTTCACCAATGCTTGGATATCATCAGTCTTCTCCTGCAACCTTTCAGCTTGCTTTCTCAGATTTTCGGCATTTTTGTTATACTGATAAAGATATCTTAGTTGATTCCCGAGAGGGGCCACTGTATAGTCAACAACTTTTGCCACCAATGAAGCACCTAATGTCATCCATGGCTGCATTGTCTCTAGACTCTCTAGTCTCCCACCTGAAGTATGTGTCAAATGAAGGTTTTGAGTATATAAATAATCTTTCTATATCTGGAAATTATGAAGTATGACAGTAAGTAGGTTTGTATTAATATTCTGAATCCTAGATGAAACTTTTTCTCATGTTGCAAATACTCATTTTATATATTTACCACTTATTATATAGATAGAACTAGAATCTCTGCAGCAGAAAGAATTTGGTTGATAAGGGAGTTTGAAGAGGATGAAATCTGATAAGTCACTGAAGCGTTGTGTTCCAGATAAGGCACCAGGACCGGACGACTTTGCTATGACATTTTCTCAACATGCTTGAAGTATTTCATGGTAAAATCTATCAATGATTTCTTTATTCTCTTGATTTCTAAGAGGAGGAAAGGGGCAATTGAACTCAAGGATTACATACCAATTAGTAATGAGATTATTAATGTCTACAAAATTGTATCAAATCTATTGACAGAAAGAGTCAAAACAGTGAAAGGGAAATTGGTACCAGGAAATCAAAATGCTTTTATTAGGGGACGACAAATCACGGATACGCGGAAAATCTTAGTAGCTCAATTGGTTGATTATCTGGTGAGACTTTGATTCCCTTATTTCAGAGTTGCATATGAACATGCTTTAGAGCACTATCTATCATGTTACCAAAGTTTCAAATATTTTGAAATGAGAAACATGAAAAACACAGTATCTTTCAGTAGCAGCAGTCTTAACACTAATTAACAATGTTTTTGTGAGCATGAAACAGATCATGAAAACTTTAGCAATTTGTTTGAGTTCAAAGATATGAAGAGAACAAGAGAATCAGTGTGAACATACCTTTTGGTCTCTAGCTAGTTGATTAAGCAAAAATCTACTTGCATAGAAATATCCTGTCTTTTCTTTGGGTTTCTTCTTTTCTATTAAATTAAAAAATAATGGAACTCATCGTTGACAAACTACAAAGTTGACTATTTCAAACATGGAGCTACTTGCATTTTTTTGCTTTCTAAACATGGTTGATTAGTTGTCATTGACAAATCAGGTCCTTTTTTTTAATGGCTAATGTAAAATAATTGAGTTTGTGATGACTTCGGTAGATTTGGCTCCCCTTCATTACACTTTGTTTCTAGTTTGTCAAGTACATGTTTAAGATACGAAATATGCGTCTTATTTAGGATTATATTGCATTAACAAGTATCAGAATTATAGTTAAGCGAATAAGTATTGTAAAAAGTTCCCTCCAAATTTAGTATTGTTTGGAATGATATTTTATTTTATTTGAAAATCAATATATATGATAATGAAAGTTCCAAATACAGTTATTCAACTTGAAGTTGTATATCAAATTTAAAATTGTTTTCCATCCTACTTGTCATTTTTTAAGTTGTAAATTAAAGCATGAATATTGGTACAAATAGTCTTCGCAATAAGTATAATAAAACACATCTCAATCTTCTTAAAAATCAAATAACATTATTTCTTTTCTTAAAATATATGTCCAAACACCTACTTAAAAGATAAGATAGTCATTTTAAGGATGTTGAAATTGTGAATGGATTTTGTACATTTAAAATAATAAAAGAAATTGTAAAAATAATATTTCACCTTCACTTTACTCACTAAGTTTTTTGTGTTTCGTGTTTCTGTTCTTTCTTTCCCTTGTTTGTTATCATGTAATTGTCCATTAAACCTTGTTTTAAACACCACGTAACCCATGAAAAATCAACATGCCATTCAAAATCAATATTAAAAAAAAATAAAATGAGTAAATGGCAGAATGAAAAAAAAAGAAAAAAAAATGCTAGCAAAGAATTGATAGTGTAATAACCTTTTAATATATATATATATATATATATATATATATAT